CGCCAGATTCAGATGAGGATGTGGAAGAAGGGATATCATTGCTAACATCAGATGGGTCTTGGCTGGAAGCAGAGAATATCAGAAAGATGTTTACTTTTGCTTTATTGACCATGCAAAGACTTTTCACTGTGTGGATCATGACAAACTATGGATAACATTACGAAAGATAGGTATTCCAGAGCACTTAATTGTGTTCCTGAGGAACCTGTACGTAGATCAAGAGGCAGTCATTCAAATAGAACTAAGAGACACTGGATGGTTTACAATCAGGAAAGGTGTGCACCATGGTTGCATTCTTTCACCACATTTATTCAGTCTGTATGCTGAGCAAATAAACCAATAAACTAGATTATATATAGCACCAAGATTTGGTGAAGACTCAACAACCTGCAATATGCAGATGATACAATCTTGCTTACTGAAAGTGAAGAGGATTTAAAATACTGATGAAGATCAAAAGCCACAGTCTTCAGTAAAGCTCAATGTAAAGAAAACAAAAATACTAACCACTGGACCGAAAAATAACATCTTGATAAATGGAGAAAAGATTAAAGTTGTCAAAGACTTCATTTTGCTTGGATCCACTGTCTAGCAACACTCATGGAAGCAGCACGCAAGAACTCAAACTACATATTTCATTAGGCAAATCTGCTATACAAGACGTCTTTTAAAGTGTTGAAGAACAGATGGTTGATTATTCTAAGGTATTTTTGTTCCTTTGGTGGTTCAAGCTCACCAGCTGTTCCTTGGAAACCCTATACAGGGTAGCAATGGGTCAGATCGACTCGATGGCACTTAACAACAACAACAACAAATTTATTGTTTGGCTTAAAATTGAGCCATGCCCCTTAAAAGATTGAAATTCAAAGGGAATACATGAGCAGGCATGTAATCTTGCTGGTGACCACATTGGTCGACCGATAGCGGAAGTAGGGGAAAAACAGCAATGAAGTTGTGAGCTAAGTCCGACCATATTCAATAGACTCCTGTCAACCTGGATCGCGACCTGGGTGACCAGCAATATAGCGAGACCTGGGGAAACCTGAGCCTGTGGACCGGGACATAGTCACAGAGGACTAGAGCGGAGAGTGAAGTATCCAGCTGATATGAAGTGAGGGGAGATGCACAGGAACGCCCATACTTGCAGTACACATTTGACCTAGCTCAATAGCTGGATGATCAGAACTCAACTAGAGGAAGAAACAAGAGGAAAAAGACTGTAATCCGCTACAATTTGTTGAGTTTGACCTATACATAAAAAAATGGATGTAGTAGCTTAAAAGAGGGAATAAATCTTTACAACAAGGATCATTCCCATCCCCTCTGTACACAGGGTTGACAGGGATGGGCAACTTAGATATTAGCTACCCCAAATGGGGGGCTGGGCAACAAAGGCATGAAGTGACTAGCTTACAAGTTTTCAAGAGGGAGCTTAGTTTCAGAGGGTGCAGGGGAAGGTAGAATCTCCACTGAGTGGTTTCCAACCTGTCTAGATGGGACTGATGAAAGGAGATGGGGATAAGACTCTTGTCTTATCAGGACTGATTGCGAATGTTGCAAATGTAAAGGTAGATGTTTTGTAACAAAAGAAGTAGTTGATATTGCAGTCCAGGAGTGGAGGACCCTGGGACCATCAGGGGAGAAGAGCAGAGTGTGAGACCCTATCCAGAGAAGCAGCAATGTCAGAGATGGAGGCAGAGACAATGACATGGAGAGAGGGAGTGGCTGGGGACTCTAGGCTCAAGGAGGGAGAGGGGCTGTGTGCTGGTGGCTTGGGGGCTGGCGTGCAGGGTATATCCTTTGGTTGTTTGAATGGTTATATATTCCTGAGTGCTTTGGCATCCATCCCAAAACAAAACAAAATAGAGGGATTGGAAGTAAGTGCTGTTGAATGATGACGCATGGAGGGGATTGAAATCATTGCAATGAAACAAAATACGATAGGATGAATGTAAAGCTGATGCTATCCCATGTAAACTATCATTCAATTCACAATAAGAACTTATAAAAAAAATAAATTAGCCATGGTGGTAAGTTCATTTCCAGACCTGAAGGGTGATGTTGTTATTCCTTATCGCTGTATAGTATTAAACCCTATACAGGGTCGCTATGGGTCAGAACCGACTCGACAGCACTTAACAACAACAACAACAACATATGTACTACAGTTTATTTATCCATTCATTCATTGATGGGCAGGTAAGTTGTTTCCATCTTATTGTGAATAATGTTGCAATGAACATTAGGGTATCATACCCATCTAGGAGTGGGGTTGCTGGGCCATAACTGTTTCTATTTCTCACTATTGAAGGATGTGCCATACTAGTTTCCATAGAGGCTATGCTACATCTTTGGATCCCATTTATTGCAAAGGTCTTTAGAATGTATATGATTAATTTAAAAAGTTATATGTATATCACCAAAGACTGTAAAATAAAATCAAGAGTTAACATGGGTAGAGCTTGTGGATTTCTGGAGTATGAGAGACTGAGGTAACAAGTTTTGAAGTCCCTTACGTAATAGAGAAAGGGGTTCAAAATGACAGCACAGTGAGGATAATTCTGAAACTCTGAAGCTCTGGGACTTTATTTCAGTGAATAGACTGAAAATGGCTAAAGCAAAACACCTGGAAGGTTTTTCAGGTTGTGAGGGGCCTGATTTGGCATGCTAAGGAATTTGGATCGGAGTAAGGGGTGAGGGGGAGAACGTGAAAAAGAGGAACACAATTGCATGTGCACTTTACAAAGGTGACTCTGTTGACTGTGAAACTGGTTTTCAGAAGGGAAAAGAGAGGTGATATAACACTTTGTTGTTATTGTTGTGAAGTGCTGTCGAGTTGGTTCCAACCCATAGAGACCTTATACAGGGTTTCCAAGGAGCAGATGGTGAGCTTGAACCACCGATCTTGCAGTTCAAATGACTTTGCAGTCTGACACATTAACCCACAGCGCCATACCAGGACTACAAAGCAGTGTAATTACACTGGGGATGGAGCAAAGAAACATTTCAATACTAGCACCCATTGGATGTAGGGTGTGAGGCAAGGAGCCCGAGGTGCTCCAACCGGGCATTGTGGGATTTTACTGCAGAATGGTTAAAGGAGCTTTGGTAGCATAGTGGTTATGAATTGGGCTGTGAGCAGTTCGAAACTACCAGCTGTTCCGCGGGAGAAAGATGAGGCTTTCTGCTCCCATAAAGACTTACAGCCTTGGAAACCCTGTACAAGATCACTATGAGTCAGAACTGACTCCACGTCCCATGACCACCACCAGTGCAGAATGGTTAAGCCCTCGGCATCTAACCAAAAGGTTGGTGGTTGAAAACCATTAATTGAAAGGTCAGAGGTTTGAACCTACCAACCTCTCCGTGGGAGAAAGATGCGGAGTCTGGTTCCATGAATAGTGTAGCCTTGGAAACCCTAAGGGGCTGTTCTACTCTATCCTATAGGGTCACTGTGATTGAGAATCTACTAAAAAAGCAATGGGTTATTAATAGAGGATAGAGCAGGAGCAGGGGTTGATGTTTACCGTGAATCTGAAGAGATTCACAAGGCTCCTGGGTGGCACAAATGGTTTGTGCTTTGTTGTCGTTGTTAAGTACCATGGATTAGGTTCCGACTCATAGTGACCTTGCACAGGGTTTCCAAGGCTGTAAATCTTGGAAGGAACCGCTGGTAGTTTCGAACTGCTGACCTTGAGGTTGGCAGCCCGACTCGTAACCACTATGCTACCAGAGCTAACTATAAAAATTAACAATTCAAATCCACTGAGTGATGCTGTGGAATCAAGGCCTACTGATCTACTTCAGTAAGATTGCTGCAAAATGCTGTCAAGTCAGTTCCAATTCATGGCGACCCTGCATAGGGTTTCTGCGGCGCTTTATTCCACAGCGCCACACCAGGACTTCAGCCACTGAAAATCTGTTAAACACTGTGTCACCTTGAGCCCCAATCTACTAAATTGACTGCACCCCAATGGGTTTGGGTTTGGTTTTTTGTTTTCTGCAGGATTTATGGGTGAAATGTACATTAGACTGTTGAAAATGAATTTGGGCTTCCAGAGGGCTCCTATATACAAGGGGGCTTCAAAAAATTCATGGAAAATGGAGTTAAAAGACAGCGAAAAATATCCATGAATGTTTTGAAATATATGCAATATCAGCAGTTTAAGGAGAGCATGGATAGTTACTTATAAGAGTGGACAAAGTAAAAAATGGGAAGAGGGCTGATGATCGGATTGTTGTGCAATATTTAAAAAGCAGGCAGGGGAAAAAAGGGACAAAAAGTCCCTCCTCACTCATATCCTCCTTGGATAAAGAGAATATGCTAGAGTCTTGGTGTGGTGCTGTAGGATAAGCACTCGACCATAAGGTCGTTTGAACCGCAAGGTCGGTGACTCAAACTGACCAGTCGATCCTCGTAAATCCTGTACAGGTCACTGTGAGTCGGAATCGACTCGACAGCACTTAATAACAGTTCAAGGGAAGCACGTTTGGGCAGATATATTTTCCTGCTTAACGTTTACACCTTAAATACTTGGAAGGCTGAACTGTTCGAACCTGGCGACTGTTGGTGAATTTGGGAGAGGATTGAAGGCCAGATGGTGCAGAGAGTACCCAAGAACACCTTGGGGCACCTCAAAGGATCCCTTGGTGCAGAGGAACGTGGTTCGTCCGGCAAGAGAAGCGAGGCGGCCCAAGGTTTTGATTTCAAGCCACCGACATAAACGGCTTTTTTACCAGAGTTGCGGATGTGGCTGAGGTTCTGGATCTGGAGACACTGGGCTTTCCTTCCCGCTCTGAGCGGAGAGGAGAGCGAACTGGACCGACCTGCTCCGCCTCCTTCCTTCCGCCAGCTCTAGGCTGCGCGGAGAGAAGGGCAGGGCCGGAAGGACGAGGCGGGACAGGGGCGAGGCAGAGTAAGAGAGGTCCCGCCCTCGGACTCCCTCCCTCTCCCATCTGCGCAGCAGGGCGGGGCCGCTAGGGCGGGACCTGCAGGGCGGGGCCGTGTCTTTGGAGCCGGAGCCGACCGCTCACTTTGCAGGCTTAGTAGCTGCCGCCGCCCGCGCCTCCAAAGTCTCACCGCTTCTTCAGCAGAGACCGGGCTCGGCCGCCATGTCCGCTGCGGAAGAAGTTGATGGGCTGGGCGTGTCCCGACCGCACTATGGCTGTAAGTGTTGGGGGTCCGCAGCGCGGAGGCATGGAGATCGGGTTCACTGTGTTCTAGGCGCCGTTTTCCTGGGGGCTCTGCTGGGAGGGTGGGGCAGGGCGGCTGCGGGCGGCGCGGACCCGGAAGAGCCGGCCCGGCGGGGCTGCGGGCCAAAGGGGTGGCGGGAGGCGAGGTTCCCGTCCCACGTCTCATTCGGGCTCGGATACAGCGGAGAAGACACCAGAGGCCTCTCCTTAACACGGTTCCCACCCATCGCCTCCACCTCCCGACTCGACCGAGATTGGGGGAGACGGCCTAGGGTGAGGTGGCAGAAGGACGATGCAGGGCGTGTCCCCGGCACCGGAGACGGGGGCTCTGCTGGGGCCTCCTCGTGGGAAGGTGCTTCTCGGTTGGATGCGTTGCCCTAGAGCCTGAGTTTTGAGAGATGGACCCAGGGTTCAGGCCTACCCGGCTCGGTGCAGGCTGTGAGGTGCGGCCTTGGATAAGTCACTTCAGCTTTTAGGGCTTAGTTCCCTCGTCAGGATTTCAAAATTAAAATGAAACACACATATACACACACAACAGCGCTCCGACTTCCTTATTTTTCAGAACCTCCTTTTCAGTGTCTGCCCCTGGGAAATCAATGAGCTATAGACGGTTGGTTACTCCTGGTCAAAGGAGGGCCCTTTTTCATCTCGTGAGGTTTTCAAATTTATGTTTTAGGATTCACATTTTGTCTTAAGAAGGGTAATTTTACTCATCATCAGTTATGTGTGAGGAGTTATGCCGTGTTTATGAAAACATGGGAATTAACGATGAGTAAGACCAGGCCCTGTCTTTAAGAATTTTTCAATCAGAGAGACAGGTGTACAACCTAATAAAAATAAGCCGTAATAAAGATAAGAGCTGCGTGAACTAACTGGACATCAGCAGTAATGTGGGTGAGGAGAAGGGACTTGGTTGGGAAAATAGTGTGAACATTTGGTGACGTTTGGAGAGACCCTTGATGTAATACTGTGCAGAGAAGTTTGTCATGTTAGGGTGGGGCAGGATACATGACATGAAAAGGGAAGAGTGTGGAGCCTGAGCCAAGGTTCTGAAGAGAGAAGGCTCTGTGTTGAGAATTCAGTGGTGCCGAGCACACGCTGGTGGGAGGAAGGGCAGTGAGAGGGAGGAGATGAATTTCCAAAATTAGTTGGGGCCACATTGGGAAGGCCTTGAATGCCATGCCAAGGAGTTAGGAATGTGTTCTGGATCCAGGGTGTCCATGCGGGCCAGATTGCTCCTAGGCTTTGGAGGGCAGAATGTCTGGGTTTGAATTCAGGCCCCACCACTTATATTAGCTATGAATTGAGCTCACCCAGCCTCTGTTTCCTCACCTGTAAAATGGGAGTGATAGCCATCAAATTGTTGTGTGACTTCATTGAGTGAATGCATGTAAAATACTTAGCACAATGCTGCCCTTTAGTTCTCAAAAATCGCCAGATTTGGTTATTAATGAAATAAGAGAACTTGATCATATCCGTATTTAGAAAGGCAGATCTGTATCTGTCTAGCAGATAAGGACAAATTTGGGCCCAAATCTCAAGCACCAGTATTTTTCAAGGTCATGCTGCAATTAAGTCCATGCTGCTATGATGGCCCTGTGCGAGAAAGATAGGATTAGTATAATCAAAACCCCAGAGTTCTTATTTTAGGAAAGTCACCTTGGTGTTGTACCTCATTATCCACATATCCACATGTTACCCTGACCCTCTAGGTGACTGGTAGGAATTTGATGCTTGTCTTTTCTCTCTCAGGAAGGTTACAGATGACTGTGTTCACACTCTTTCTCTCTTTCTCTCATGTTTTAGCCGTCCTGGATAATGAGAGACTTACTGCAGAAGAGATGGATGAAAGGAGACGTCAGAATGTGGCTTATGAGTACCTTTGTCATTTGGAAGAAGCAAAGAGGTAAAGATTGGCTGGCTGGAGAGAAGATTGGGAGAAGGTGCTGATGCAGTGTGAATAAGCATAAAGATCTCTTTGATTGTGTTGTAGGTGTGACTGCAGGAGGCTGGTAGTTGAGAGAGTAAATCTAGGTAGGGTATTTATTAATGGGAGCAATTAGTCTCAAGGGCAGTTTATCATAAAAACATTCTGCTGAGCATTTATGTCTATTGAAAAATTTCTAGTTTTTTTTCTGTTTTATGGTTATGTTTGCATACAGTTGTTTGTGTGTGTGTGGGGGGGGCAGGTAGCATTATTAGGGTTTGAAGTCCTTGGTTTTAATGTTTGATGAATTCTTCATTGGTTTGGATTTATGTAGGAATTGGTTCCCCTCTCCCCATGGCTTGTGGAGTAGGTATGTGATTTGGGAGGCACAGACGGCTAATAAGTGAGTGCTCTGGGTGTAGGTTCTTTCCTTTACCAATATTAAAAAAATCATTTGACTAAAGGCAACATCCTCTGCTTCTTTTATGAAATGAAGTTATAGTTTGTATTTGGACTCTTGGTGTGGCGCTGTTGGATCAAGCCCTGGACTGCGAACCACAAGGTTGGCAGTTCAAACCTACCAGCTGCTCCTTGGAAACCCTACACAGGGTCGCTATGAGTCGGAACTGACTCGACAGAACTTAAGGACAACATTTTCCTTTTTTCAGATGCTTCAAGATCTTGTGGTCTTATTCTTAGTATTAATTTGCTTTACTATCAGTGGTCTATTTCTTTTGTTCTGGGGTGTGTGTTCCTTTGCAAAGTCTTCAGGGTAGAAAAATATAATTACAGATCAAAAGTTTTGTAAATCAGAGATTAGATAGAAAATGATAAAATGGGATAAAGAAAGGTATGTATAATAAAATTTAATGTAAATCAAAGATATTTCAAATAGTGCCAGTTAACAAAAGTTTCTTCTGTTTTTTTTCTTTTTTAAATGTTTTATTGTGAATTATGTGATAGTTTACATGGGAGAACATTAGTTTTACATTCATCCTATCTTATACTGTTTCACTGCCATGGTTACAGTCCCCTCCATGCATCATTAACCAACCAAAGGGTACATCCTACAATCCTGCCCCCCCCCCCATGGCCAGTCGTCAGCACGCAGACCCTCTCCCTCTCTGGATCCAAAGTCCCCAGCTGCTCCATCTCAGAGATCACTGCTTCTCTGGGTAGGGTCCTGCTCTCCGCTTTTCTCCCTTCATCGTCCCAGGGACTTGCCCTCCCAGACTGAAAAGTTAATTACTCCCCTCCTTGCCACAAAATATCTACCTTTACATTTACAATCCTCACAATCATTTCTGATAACAGTCATTCACCATTGTATCACAAGAGACCTATCCGCATTTCCTTTCATCAGTCCTGCCTAGACAGATAGGATACTACTCAGTGGAGATTCTACCTTCTTCCACGCCCTCTGGATCTAGGCTCCATCTTGAATGCTTGTAAGCCAGTCACTTCTTGCCTTTGTAGCTCTCCATTTTGGATAGCCAGTGTCCAAGTTGCCCATCCCTGTCTACTTTGTGTATGGAGGTGGTGGGTCTTCTGGTTTTTTTTTGGTTTTGTTTTTCAATTTGGAAAACACTGCAGGAAATTCCAGAAAACAATACAACAAACATCCGTATGTTCACTGGCCAGCACTAACAAATAGTAACCCTTCAGAGTGTTCCTTTTTTATAGGAAGATGGTGGTCCATTGTGAGTTTTTAAAAAAATTGTAGTAAGAAAATATATATAACAAAGCATTTACTATTTCATCATTTTTCTGTGACATTAATTACATTCATTATGTTGTGTAACACCAGTCTCTGTTTCCAGTTTTTTCCATTACTGTGAACAGAAACTTAGGACCTCCTAATCAGTGACTACCTCTTAGCTCTTTCTTGTTATCTCTGTTAACTACTACTAATAAATTTTAGTCTCCATACAAAAGGAGCTCTGGTAGTGTAGTGGTTACGAATTGGGCTGCGAACTGCAAGGTCAGCAGTTCGAAACTACCAGTTGTTTTTCGGGAGAAAGATGAGCCTTTCTGCTCCCGTAAAGATTTACAGCCTCGGAAATCCTGTACAGGGTCGCTGAGTCAGAACCGACTCCACAGCATATAACAACAACAACAACATACATTTGCCAAATTCTAGATATTTCATATGAGTGGGATTATACAGTAATTCTCTTTGTGTTACTGACTTGTTTTACTTAGTGTAATGGCAAGGTTCCCCCATGTGGAAGCATGTATTCATTTTTTCTTTATGGTTGAGTAGTATTCCATTGTATGTATGTTCCACATCTATTTCTCTTTTCATTTCTTCTTGGGCAATTAGGTTGTTTCTCCCTTTTGGTATTGTGAAGAGTGCTGCCGTGAACATTATCCCACAAGTATTTGAGTCCTTGCTTTCAAGTCTTTTGGATATATGCCTAGGAGTGGAATTGCTGGACCATGTGGTATCTCTACATTTAACTTTTTAAGGAACTACCAAGCTGTTTTACACAGTGGCTGTACCATTCCTCCAGCAATGGCTGAAGATTGCAAACGCTCAGTACCTGTACTTGTTGTCTGTGTCTGTATTGTCAATCTTAGCCATCCTGTTGTGAAGAGCTATCAAGTTGGTTTTGATTCAGAATGACTCTTTATAGGGTTTCCCAGGAAGGCCTGGTGGGTTTGCACCAACAAACTTGTGGTTAGCAGTCCAGTGCTTATCCTACAGCATCACACCAGGACTCCATAGGCATCCTGTTGTTGTTCCATGCCATCAAGGAGGTTCAGACTTATAATGACCCTGGATCGATTTTCTAAGGAGTGGCTAGTGGGTCGAACCACCAGCCTTGTGGTTAGCAGTCTAGTATTTATCTTACAGCACCACACACACCCGGATAGAGTATCTCACTGTGGCTTAGATTTGTATTTCCCTAATGACTGGTGGCATTGAGCATCTTTTTATGTACTTGTGGACATTCAGATGATTCATTGGTGAAATCTCTAATCAGGAACTTTGCCATTCCCCTCCCCCCCCCTTGTTTTTTTAATTGGGTGGTTTGTCATTTTGTTGCTGAGTTGTAGTTCTTTATGTATTCTGGATACTAAACCCTTACCTGATACATGTTGTTAAGTGCCTGGAGTTGGTTTTAACTTAGAGTGACTCTTCTAGGGTTTCCGAGAAGCGGCCAGTGCGCTATCCTGCAGCACCCCACTAGGATATGAGTCCCCCACATTTTCTCCCAGCCTGTAGGTTGTCTGTTCACTTTGTTGACAAAGTCCTTTGGTGTACACATGTTGAAAATCTGTTTTGAATTTAATTTTTGTTGAACTATGCACAGCAGGACCGGTTCCCATCCCACAGTTTGGAGACATAATGACCAGTAACATTGGTGACACATTCGCCTGTGTCAGCATTCTCCTTATTTCTCTCCTGGTTGGTTCCCTCCAGCTACTGAAACTCCCTGGACCCCAGCCTCCTTATCCATGTGTTAAAATAGTTGTTGACCCTTTGGTCTTAATGTAGATCAATTTTTTTAAATGCACTAAAAACCATAATACTCATGGGTGACCATTTTTACTCTTTAGGCTAACCTGTTACTTCATTTAAAGGTGACTTCAGGGAAAGTTTCTATTCTAGGTTATAAGGACAACCTAGGGACTCTTCCAGTCTCAGTCTGCCCAGTAAGATTAGATTCTTGAAGGTTTTGAAATTCTGTTCCACATTTCTCTCCCTTTTGTTCAGGATTCATTATCACATTCCTGATCAGAACAGTCAGTGATGCCTGCAGAGATCTTGTAGTCCTTCTGGTCTTAAGGTAGAGGAGGAACACGTTTAAATTTTTGATTAAGTCCAATTTATTTAGCTTGTCTTTTGTTGTTCATGTTTTTGGTGTCTTATCAAGAATCTGTTGTCAAAAACTAGACCCTGAAGCACCACCTCTATGCTTTCTTTTAAGAGAATTTATGGTTTTAGTTCTTACATTTAGGTTATTGATCCATTTTGAGTTAATTGTTGCATATGGTGTTCTCTGTAGGCCCAGCTTCATTCTTGTGTGTACAAATGCAATTGTCCTAGCATAGTTTATTAATGAGACAATTCTTTGCCCATTGAATGGATTTAGCACTTTTGTGGAAAATCAGTTGACCGTATATGTTTTCCTTTTGCACGTCTCCAGGCCCTATTCTCCTTCTTCTCTTCCTTGTGGCAACTATACTGTTATGTGTTTGGTGTGTTTTCTTGGACCCAGGCTTTTGTGAGCTTAAAACCCTTCTAGGAGACTCAAGTGGGAGAACGAATTAGTGGTGATTTAGGAGGGGAAGATGTTAGGAGTTTTTCTAAATGGAATGTTAGACAGTAAAAGGTGAGCACATCATTGAAGGAGCCTGGTGGCCGTTATAGGATAGGCATTGGATGCTAACCGCATGGTCAGCGGTTCAAATCCACTATCTGCTCCTCAGAAACCCTATACAGGGTCGGAACGGACAGACTGCACGTAACAACAACATCAGCACATCATTGAAAGAGACTTTTTCTCATGCCAAGTTTGTAAGGGTCTTACAAACAAAAATATTGAGTCCTATGCCGCTTGAATCATGGACATTTAGTTTGGAAAGTTAAAGAATGCTAAAGCTGCAGCGGCTTTGAGAGCCCGTCTTGTTCTCTGTGGAGACTTGGCTACTCTACTGAGGTCACCTGGGGGCTAGGGAGGAGACCCCCAACATGCTTGCTTTCCCCCTATCCAGTGTAGTTCTGTTTTTGTTTTAATATTGGGTTTCCACAGTCAGATTCCCGTTTTTCAGAGAGTGTCTTGGGTAACACCCCTTTCTCCCTAATGCCACATTAATCTAGTTTAGTTGTCTGGTTTCAATGAGGAAACAGACCTGAATTTGGTCTCCTTATAAACCAAACCTACTGTTGTAGAATTGATTCCTTCTCTTATTAACCTGACAGGACCAAGTAGACCTGCTCCTTAGGGCTTCTGAGATGATGCATCCTTATG